TTTTTTTTTTTTAATTCCAAGTAATCTTTTTCTGTTTTTAAATTCAGGGAATTGAATGCAGGACCTTTGAACTAAGCAGCCCCAACCCCTACCCTGTGCTTTTTTTTTTTTTTTTTTGAGACAAGGTCTTGCTAAGTCGTTGAGTTACCCAAGTTTTGCTTGAACTTGTGATTCTCCTATCTCAGCCTTTCAGAAACCTGGGATTACAAGCATGAACAACCACACCTGGCTGTAAATGATCTTTTTAAAAAAATCATCCCTGTTGCATTTAATGCTAAATTTGCTTGTAAAGAAACTGGATGAAAACTTGTAACTATTACATGGAAAAGAAAAGAAAGCAAGAGTTTGAGTTCCTCTTTTTATGACTGCTCTTAACAAAAGTAAAAGCATTAATATTTGAAAATTTTCCACTTAGTAATGATCATTCTGAAACATAAACTTCCTTATTTTGTGTTGAATAAAAGCAAAAATCAAATGGAATATAGTTATGATCTTTTCATTTCATTAGATCTAGTAACTTGAGCTCATTGGGATATCTGGGATAGTGGGTAGCTACATAATTTTAATATACTAGTATATATTATCCTTTTTGCAGTCTTTTTTTAAAAAAAATAATTCCCCAAAGATTTAATATCCTCATTAAAAAGATTTAGCTTTTTCATAAAAGAAGAGTTAGCATGGTCATATGACCTTCACAACAATGATTGAGATCAGTTACTTTATTTCATTCACTCAGTATTTTTTGAGCACTTGTATGCCAAGCATTCTTTTAGGCAAAGTTCTTGACCTTGGCAATTTAAAATTTAATGGAAAGATGTGATCCTTTAATTTTTTATAAATATATATAAATATGTAGTAAATGTGCACAATGTGAACCTCAAATGCATAAAAATACATTGGTGAAAGGTCTCACTGCTAAGTTTTCCCTAAGCTTCCCCATTTCTCTCTGTAACCTCTTCCATAGGTTTCCTTGCAGAGATATTCTATACATATGTAAGCATTCCTGTAATGATTAAACATATCCTTAATTCACACAATACCTTTCTGTTTCTTTTTTCTTTTTTTCTGTATTTTAGGGAAGGGTCTACAGGGTATTCAGGGTCTCACTGTTAGATCAGGCTTGTGGTGATCTGCCTGTTTATAGCCTCCCAACAACTGGGATTGCAGGGGTGCACCACCATGCCCAGTCTCAATTGTCTTCTCAAGGGCCGGGGAGATAGCTCAGTGGAATAAGTGCTTGCCTGGCAAGCGCAGAATCCTGAGCTTAATCCCCAGTACCACAAAAAAAAAAAAAAAAAGGTGATCAGTTGCCTTCTCAGCATGCCCTGGGGGCGGGTCCAGCATGGCAGGCCCTGGGATTGAACCCCTGGCCCCTGCACCTGCTTGCAGGTACTTTAATCCGCTGAACTCTTTGGCTGGCCCTTACCTTTCTGTTTATACTGTTCCTTTTTTTTTTTTTGTCTCACTTGACACTGTATTTTGGAAATTATTCCATATAGTGCTACTTCTTTCTTTTAATGGCTGTCTGGTTTTGTAACATCTAGCTGGCCCATAATTTAAGTTCTTTTCTTACTGAATATATGTAGGTCATTTCTAGGATTTTGCTATTACAAAAATTCTTACAAACATAGCATTTTGACTGTATTCAAATATGTTTAGATTCATTAGTGAAAAAATAATTTCAAGATGAAAAGATAAATACATGTCACTTTTGTTCTCCAGTGTTGTACCACTTTACACTCCTACAAGCAGTAGATGAAAATGCTTATTTTTTCCACCAAGACTGTATCTTATCAAGCTTTATCTATTAATTACAAAAAAAAAAGAAAATCACATTTCTTTCCTCAGTGTTATTAAGTGTTTAATTTCCTCAGTATTATTTTATGCATTTAACTATTGCTATTTTTGTTACAGCTAAATTTATGTTTAAAGTTCTTTTTTTTTTTTTTTTTTTGTTGGAACCAGGGATTGAACTCAGGCCCTTGCGCTTGCCAGGGAAGCACTTATTCCACTGAGCCATCTCCCTGGCTCCTGAAAGATCTTTATAAATTCACATATTTGATTGTCTTCGTTTCTGTATTTTATTTTACTCAATGTATTTTTTAGGTAACAGAGGATTTTTAAAAATCTTTGTGAGAAATTACAAACTAGCAATGGCTAATTGAGGTGATTTGATCATATCAGAAAGTGACACATCTTCTTAACGATCAAAATTTTAAAAAGTGACACAACAGTTTGTATTTTTTGGTTTATGCAATATACTATAAATGTTGCTCTACTGCCTTTATTGGAAACAGTTATGGGTTTTGTCTTTCTAAGTGCCATTTCAAGTTTTTAGACATGAAACATTAAAAATGATAGCTATTAGTATGTGACTAGGTTTTTAAGACCTCATGATACTGTCTGGAATTTACCTTTTATTTCAAATGTTGAAGGAAAATATTGACTGTGTCTAAGGGAATTCTATATTAAATAGTATACATAAAAATACATTCATTAAGACATTCAGACTACTTCAAATATTGTTTTCATTAGCTCTAAAGCAATAAAAGTGATATTTGGAGATAAAACACAGAATGGTATTTGACATATAAATGTTTGTAGTAGGATAATAGAGCCCAATGGTTAAAATCATGTGATTTAGAGTAAAAGAACCTTGATTTCACCGGCTGTGTACTTTCCTAAGTATCTGTTTCTTTGCACATAAGATGAATGAATACCAGCACCTGTCTCCTTGGATTTCTGTGGGGATTGAATGAGTTAGTGTACATAGGAGGGCTGGCTTAGTGCCTGGCATACAGTAAGTACTAAACAAAATGGCATTGTGACCAATCATTCTTATTTCTGGCTGAGCTGAAGCTTTACTTTGGGAAGTCAACAGTCATGCTAGAAAAGCACTGAAGGGTAGTATTCAGCTCAAAAAAAAAGAAAAGAAAAAGAAAAGAAAAGAAAAGAAAAAGAAAGTGCACCCTCCATTCAACCATTATTTGTAATCTCTGGTTTTCATTGTCAATTAAAAATAACACACTTATATGAGCCTCAGGATTGAACTCTTAACAATAGTATTTTAATTATTTCTGAAATAACCCAGTCTCAGTCACATAATGAGAAGAATATTTACTTGAGATACCATTGACAGATGACACAAAAAATGCCAAAACCAAAAGGAGAACATCAATTGGCCACCTGAATGACCTCAAATCTAATGACCTAAGGACCCAGAGCAATATAAAGATCACATTTTGAAAGCCTGTGCTATAAATAACTTGACCTATGCGTTTCCTTCTTGTTATTTTGCCAGAGTCATTCTAATCCTTTTTTTTTTTTTTTTTTTTTTTGCAGAATCAGGGATTGAACTCAGGCCCTTGCACTTGCCAGGAAAGTGCTCTAATCTTTTATTAACTGAACTATTAAATCAGATTAAAGAGAGAGAGAGAGATCCTACAGCTCTCCTAAGTGGTATAAATGGTAGCAATTTTCTTTAAAACAACAAAAACCAACCACGGTGTATGACTATGTCAAAAGATTTCAGAAAACAAAAAAGTCTGAATATTTCAAGGTACTTCTAACAATTAGAAACTTAGACATAACCATAAATTCTTTTATTTTATAGGCATCCCTTGGAATTTCACATTTAATGTGAAGTTTTATCCACCAGATCCAGCACAGTTAACAGAAGACATAACAAGGTAAATAATCATTAGTTCTATATATGATAGTAAATCATCATCATAAGTGCTGAGACTTTCTCTTCAAAATTGAAGAAAACTGGTGAGCTGTTAATGATCAGCTTTAAGAAAGAAAAGTTTCTGGTCACTTCAAAGCATGCTTGCAAATAAGTAAATCTAAAAGTTTCAACTATCTGACCTGCTTGGAAGAAACTGGTAGGGGAACAAGGCTTATCATTTATGTCATGCCAGGCTGTAGTCTGGGTTCCTCAAAACTGTCCCACCCTCCCGGAGGGCTGTTTACTGGGAAAGAGCTCTTGAGTTTTTCAATTTCCTTCACTACATTTGTTTTTACAGAGAGCAAAAAAGCCAAAAATCTCAGGCTTATTATTATCTGTCTCCTCCTTTTCCTCCTCCTTCTGAGGCACGAAAGGATTGAAATCAGGACCTTCCCAATCCTTTTTATTTTTTGAGACAGGACATCTCTCAGTTGCTAAGTTGCCCAGACTGGGCTCAAATTTGCAATCCTTTTATCTCAGTTTCCCAAAGTGCTGGGATTTCAGGTCTATGCCACCAAGCCATCTGTATCTTCCTCTTAAACTATGTGGTTAGTTCCGATTTGATTTGAAACTGTCTCATTGCTATCTGTTTGTCAATAAAACTTTGAAAAAAAAAAAATAAAAACCTCCACAAAAAAAACAAAAACAAAAAACTATGTGGTTAGGTATGTGATCCTCATGAATTAAATCTTCTTTGGGCCTATTTGACTTACAAGTTAATCCTATATTCTTTTTTATTTTATTTTTTAAAAGAGAAATAAAAAATAGTATTAAAAAAAACTTTAGGAATGATACAGAATTTCACTAAACAAAATAATAGGAATTCAACAATGGTCATTATGTTGCAGATTGTTGCCTTTAAATTAGTTGTTCACATTACCAGATATATGCATTCAAAATTGGTTCAAAAAAGTTATAAAAAATTAAAAAGCAAAAAAAATTAAGCATTAACTTCTTTCAACAGACCAGCAGAAATCAGCAATACAATTATCCAAGCTATCTTGTATATATGCATATGTATTTCTTTATCTTTTAGAAACTTTCAAAGGGAAGGAGTAACTGGGATGAGGGAAAGGAGGAGGGAAAGAAAGAAGGAAGGAGAAAAAAATCCTGTATTCTTTAAAAACAACCTACTCAATCTTTTAAGGAAATGACTTTTTTTTTAATAACAGAAAAGCTTTAAAAATGGAAAAGCAAAAAAAAAAAAAATGGAGAAGCAATATATTGTAAAGAATACTATTATATGTATTTATATGTATAGCTTCTTGCATGGAGCCTCATATCCGGTAGCTGCTTGGCAGATTCTGTTAAATTGAATTGTTGGTTATCAAGAAACATTTCTAATTTTGATTTGATTGCCAGCTATCTGATTACAGGCAAATTTATAACCTCTAAGCCTCAGTTTTCATAAATCTTAAGTAAGGTAATAAAATAAATTCTTAAAAATCTAATCATTGCTGGGTGTGGTAGTGAACTCATGTGATACTAGAACTCAGGAGGCTGAGGTAGGCTGCTTAGTAAGACTATCTCCAATTCAACCAAAAATCTGATTATTCAGTTCTTTGTAAAGTTTATACTATTTTTAAAGATTACTTTGTTTTCCAGTTGTACTTAGTACATTTGTGAAGCTGAAATTATGTATATCATCCTGAAAAAATTTTCACAGGTAATATTTGTCTGGTAAAGTTGCTACTTACTCATCTTTCTTCCTCTAGGTTTTATCCTTAGAAATCTTTTCTAATTGCTTGTGTTTTAAAGAAGTTTAAGATTCTCCTTGTCTCAACTTTTCTAACTTTTCTTTCTAAGCTACCTTCCAATTCGAGTTCAAGGTAGTTACAGTATTTGTTTTTGGTTTTGGTGGGAAAATTTCAAACACAGAGAAGGAAGAAATAATAATATAATAATATGACATTAGCCACATGCCCTCATGTAGATCGAACAATTAATATTTTAATCTTTTTTCTTTTTAAAAATCATTTTCTTTTTCCTTTTATTTGTTTAGTTTGTTGCTGCTGCTAACATGTCAACATCCTTTTTTTTTGGCTTCAGATACTATTTATGTCTTCAGCTTCGGCAGGACATCGTTGCAGGACGACTGCCCTGTTCCTTTGCAACCTTGGCATTACTAGGTTCTTACACCATCCAGTCTGAGCTGGGAGACTATGACCCAGAGCTCCATGGCATGGATTACGTTAGCGATTTTAAACTGGCCCCAAATCAAACCAAGGAACTTGAAGAAAAGGTCATGGAACTGCATAAATCATACAGGTGAAACTATCTCTGGGATTTATCTTGTTTATTTTGGCAATAAGTTTAAACTGTTGACTTACTACTGATGCAGTATTTGCCTAATAGGGAACATGATGCCTTAGAAAGAGTCAGCATATCCCTGCTCCCTTTGACCATGGCAAGTTGCTGAATTTCTCTGAACTCCACTTTCATCATTAGAGTAATGGGCATTGCATTGTAGGATGAAAACTAAATGAAATGACAGATGTAAAGCGCTTAGCGTGGGATCTGGCAGATAGTAGGTGCTTAATAATAAATGGCAGCTATTATTGTCTTACCTTTTTTCAGGTTTCAAACTTATTATATACTATAGTAAATGCTTTGAGATTCTTAGAACTAGTGTCTAACTTGAGATATATGTACATGGATAGATTTCAAAGGGCCCATGAAACTCTTAAATGTATTTTTCATCTATTTATATTTCATCTATTTATTTATGTACTTATTTTTTTGGTGCAGGGTCTCACTACACAGCTTGGACTTGTAGTTATCCTCCTGTCTCAGCCTCCCCAGTGCTATGATCACAGGCCTGCACCACCACATCTGGTTTTGGGGCCGGCACAGCACACCCAGGGTTCTGGGGCCAGCGTGGCATACAGTACCAGGGATCAAACCTGGATCTTTTTGCCAGACAGGCACTTGACTGCTGATCTATCTCCCCAGCCCACCAAATGTATTTTTAAATGTCCTTATTGATTATATGGCTTTTTAATTTTTATTTTTATTTTATTTATTTATTTTTGTGGAGCCGGGGATTGAACTCAGGTCCTTGCGCTTGCCAGGCAAGCGCTTATTCAACTGAGCCATTTCCCTGCCCCCTATATGGCTTTTTTAAAAAGTGAAAATAATTGTTACCAGTATAGGAGAATCATAACAGTAATCAAGAACAAGGGCTTACAAAGTACTCTGAGCTACACTAAAATGTTGCCTCTGCTTTGTCGTGGTCTTGAGACATTAGGTAATTCACTTAAACCTCTACATTTTAACCTTATGTGTGTGATGGAGGTTATTGCCTCAGAAGACACAGAGTAATTGCTAGATTTACAAAAGATTATGTAAAGCATTTAATATAGATAATGTCTTTCGTGTAAAAATTCATAAAATGTTAGCAAATATTAAAATGCCTTAAAAACTTGCATTTTTGCCTACTATACCTCCACTATTACTTGGATGGCTTACTATGGCTAAATTTTACATTGTAACATGAAAGTCTGATCTTGGCCTTAAATTAGTGTTCTGAGTTATGTTAGCATGAGTTAGATGATGAAGTTATAAAGGGTTTCAGTGCTCAAGGAGAAATACAAAGTGTGGTTTTGATAGGTTGCTGTTGTACTGCCAACAATTCTGTTTAGTCATTAAGCTACATTGTTTTCCTTGGCGTGATTCTAATGGATTGCATGGATTGGGATGCTTCAAGGAGAGAACTTTAAATCGAGCCGTCCCAGTTCTTAAGTGACTTATTTTTCCTCTAAATTTAGATGCTGCAGTCATTAAAACCATAATAAGGACTTTATAACCTACATATCAGAGGTCTTAGGAGAGTTGCTCAAGTCTCATGGGGTCACACTACTTTTTTTCTTTTTTGGTGTGGGAACGGAACCGGGGATTGAACTCAGGCCCTTGCGCTTGCCAGGCAAGCACTTATTCCACTGAGCCATCTCCCCGGCCCTACTTTTTTTCTTTTAATGGTGACAAGTTTCATATTTTTTAAGGTAGAAAAAAACCCAGAAGGTTTGGGAGGAATGGATTTTGCAGAGAGAGTCTGGGTTGAGTAAAAAGGGAAGAAAAATAAAAAGTAAAACTATACCCTACAGTATAGTGGGGATTATTGTAAAGAAGCGTAATAGCCCGAGTCCATACTTACTTGACAAGAGAACTGCAAAAATTTGCTTTTCAAATTCACGCTTATACACTCCAGTGAGCTGAAGTCAGAAGCCACTAAATGTACCACTTTCAATTTCATGATTGTAACTTCAAAATGTTGCATTGTCTTTGAGTATATTTTTAATACTTTATATTCTGGCTATGAGTCTAAAAAGCTACACACACACACACACACATATATATATACACATATAGAAGCAAATACTGAAAAGAATCCATTAAAATAATTTGACAGGTTAGATTTGTAGCATACTTTTTTATGGTATATAATTTTTTTAATATATTTTAATTTAATATTTATTTATTTATTTATTTATTTAGTGTGTGGCCTGCTCAGCCCACCAGGGGGCGGGGCTGGCTGGCATGTGGTGCTGGGGGATTGAACCACGGTCCCTGTACTTTGATTGGTTTGGCTTAGTTTGTTCTAAGTAGGTGCTTTAGATCACTGAGCCATCTCACCAGCCCAATGGTATATAATTTAAAGCAATTATTAATATAATTTTTACACAGTAAAATGGTAAGAGAAATTTTTTTACTGCTGCTATAAAGCCAAAGAGAAGAAAATAATATCAGATTATGATCAATACTTTAAATCTGTCTCTGATCATTTTTAATAATTATTTGATCATAATACAATCTGAGTTTTAAAGGGGCTTCATCTAGTCTTAATTTTCACCCAATACTTTTATTCTTTGTAGCATTTTTATTATATAATCATAATAATTCTAAGTAGCTAATTATTATATATCTGTTATTATGGGCCAAATACTGTTAAACACTGTACATATTTCATACTTAGTTATTATAAGCACCTTTTAAGTTAGGCCAACAATTCCTACAGATCCTGTTTTCAAGATCCTTTTAAGGTTCTACAAGGTCAGAATTACATTTACTGTAATACTAAGGTATGTCTTTTTCACTGTGTTGACACTGGTGGAACACAAATCGAGGCAATTGCACCAAACTATACTCCTAGTCATTATATTCTTTACCAACATGCAATACAGTTTAAAGGGGTGGGGTATCGTGGCACATGCCTATAATCTCAGCTAGGAGGAGGCTGAGGTAAGTAGGAGACCAGCCTGGGAAATTTATCAAGATTCCATCTCAAAATAAAAATTTTTTAAAAGGGCTGGGATGTAGCTCAGTGGTAGAGCAATTCCTCGTATGAGTAAAGCTCTGGATTCAATCCAAAGTACTATGTACATGCATGCATCATGCATAAATAAATACCATTTCACTTAATAATTTTAATAGAACAGTCAAATGTTGATTTTATTAAACCTTAAATGTAGTTCAGTTTAATATTCTGTGGTTAAATGAGAACTACACATAAAGCATTTCTACTGTGTAGTGAAATAAAATAATTGAAGAAAAGCACTTGTGGGTTGAATTATAAGCTGAATTAGCCATCTTATTTATTTAGTCTTTTTGTGTCAGAGTCTTACTATGCACTTCAGGCTGGCCTTGAGCTCACTTTGTAGCCCAGGCTTGTGAATTTGCAGTGATCCTCCTGCTTAAGCTTCTGAGTGCTGGGATTACAGGCATGTAGCACCACACCCAGCAGCCGTCTTTTTAATATCACATTTTTTCTTTAAAAAAAAAAAAAAAACTGACAAACTGATTGTTCTTTTGTGTTAGTACATGTTTGCAGTATATTGTGATTACTTTCCTTAGGGGAAGTTGGTACAGGTATATAATTCATCAAAGGCCAGTCCTATTTTGAAAAAGGAAATTGTTGCTAACGACAGAATTCAGACTTTCAAGTAAAAATTAAAATTTTAGCTTGGCATGGTGGTGCGTACCAATAGTCCCAGCTACTCTGAAGGCAGAAGGAGGATTATTTGGGTCAGGACTTAGGAGCCAGACTAGACAACATAGGGAGACACTTGGCTCTTTAAAAACAAAAAGAAAAATTTAAACACTTGTTTATACCAACATTATCTTTTCTTTCTTACATTTTTTATTAGTATATAATGATTTCATTTCTCATGGAGAGTTGGTACAAGTATATAACACATCTTAATTCTTTTTTAGGTCCCTTCCCTCCTCTTTCTGTCCATCTCTTGGTCCCCTGCAACATGATCTTGACAGCTTTCACATCCTTAATCTTTTCTGCTGAGATGAATGTAATTTTTTTTTTTTTTTCTTTGCAGAGCTGGGGATTGAACTCAGGTCCTTGTGCTTGCCAGGGAAGCGCTTATTGCACTGAGCCATCTCCCCAGCTCCCTCTGAATGTGATTTTTTTTTTTTTTTTTTTTTTTTTTTTTTTTCGGAACCGGGAATTGAACTGAGGCCGTTGCGCTTGCCATGGAAGCACTTATTCTACTGAGCCATCACCCCAGCCCTCTGAATGTGATTTTTAATGAAAATAATTTCAAAAAGAAATGTTGTATATATTGTGTTAATATTTGAAAGACTGAACTCAGTGAGCTCATATTTTCCAGATGGAATATATGATATGAGCTCATTCATACATAAAATGATTCATTCAAAATGCAAGATAGACCAATATATTTTGATAGATATAACAACACAAAAAGTTCATTGATGTTTTCAGATTTCACATTTTAACTAATCTTTTTAAATTTTTGAGACAGGGTCTCACTATGTAGTCCAGGCTGGCCTCGAACTCGTGGTGATCCTCTTGCCCCAGCCTCTGCAGTGTGGGGTTACAGGCATGCACCACTATGCCCAGCCTTTAGTCTTTAAGAAACTGATATTTTTGAGTTTTAGTGTAATATCAAAGAAAACTTAAATTTTCAATCCTTCATTGTTCTTTCATATATTTTTATGATAAAAATAATCTATTATTTTTATTTAGTGATTTAATAAATATTTCAATTTTTTTTAGTTTAAAATTTTCTTAATACAATGAGCTGTAAAAGTCTCAAGTCAATAACTTCTGAGGATAACCCACTAATATTAGAGACTGCTAGACAGTGTTAGATTGTTTAGTTGAATTCAAACACCTATAGTATTTAGATATCAATAGAATATTCACCTCTGACAGAACAAAAACAAAGGATACAAAGGAAAGATCATTTTGTATTCATATATACAAAATAGGATAAATTTACAGCTACTTTCGCTTA